TTTTTTTTTTGAAGTGTAGTACAGTCTTCTTTCAATTTCACCTCACACTACCTACCCACCACTACTACTGATTATAGTCGCACGGGGAAAACCCCGTAGCAGCCAGAACCATGTTCACGAGAGAATATGCGGGGGCTGCTCCCGATCTGCAGCCAGGGGACGACCGGTAGCATCAGGGGCCATGCCTACAGGACCAATCCCTGTGCCTCCCCTCCGGTGGTGGTCCCCTCAGTAGACTCTGCTCAATGCCGATCGCGGGATCCAGTCTTTTTAACTGTATCCCCCTTTAGCAGGCACATCCCCAGATGGTCCAGCCTATTGCTAGAAAGCGCCGCCTGCTGGAAACCGGGTCTAGCATCCCAATATACAATCAGTCATTTCTTTCCCGGGGGGCATTACCCGGTTTGAGCTTTTGCTGGTTCCCCTCATCCAATCATGAACATCCTATGACAGCCTTTTTGGCCTTCTTCCGCATCTTTCCACAATCGCGTCCAGATGCGAAAGAGTCGACTGCCTTGTCCTTCAGAACATGGGTTATATATCTCTTAAGGGTGGGTTCTGTTCGGAAGAGGATGGAGGGAAAGAAATTTGGGGGCCGCTTCATAGGCGCTGGTGTGATTTAAACCGCCAGCAGTTCGGAGGCAATTTTCTCTGACTCTCGAAATCGCAGAATCTCCGATTTACCGACGTTAAATCGCATTTAGCGTCGCAAGGGAAACCTCGAACAAAAAAGATTAACGAGGAGGAACTCGAAGACAGAAAAGTGAGAAAAAGATTGAATTGCATGTCTATGGTCCAGACTAGACTGACAATGGGCACTCGAAATCGCAGAATCGCAAAATGAGCACCCAGGTTGAGGCCTTCTTTTGGGGGACTCGATCTGACCGGTCATTTTCTTGCGACCCTGCAGTTTTCCAATTCCGTGATTTTTAGGGCCTGCGTCTTTGCTGAAGGTGCAGCTCTCAACCAATAGAGAGGCCTTTAGGGTTTGCAAATGCGATTTTTAGGGATGTAAAGTCAGGTAAATAAAACCCCTTACTCACACTAGGCACCAAATCGCAGAATCGCAAAATGAGCACCCAGATTGAGGCCTCTTCTCTTAGGATTTGATCTGACCGCTCGTGTTTTTTGTGACCCTGCAGTTTTCCGATGCCGCGATTTAAAAATCGCCTGCTTCTTTCCGGCATGGCCAGTTCCCAACGAATGGATAGGTTTGCGAAGGTGATTTTTCGGGTCGTAACTCAGGTAAGTAACTCCTCAGTCGGGCTTTTGCAAATGCAAAAGCTAGACCTCTCAGTTCGCAGTAACGTTCTATTGGGACGCGGGGCCTGCTTTCCAATAATGACCGTACGTCGCATTCGGGGGAAGGGGGAAGAAGGTAAGTACATGGGCCCATGCTTGTGGAGAATTGTTCTTCACCTACGCTGAAAAAAGTTGGGGCCAGCGCGCCGTCGACAAATTTTGTCAATTGCCACCCTTGCGAAGGCTGCAGAAGTTCTCTGCAAGATGACCCGCGGCTGATGTACGGTCCCCCGTGTACTGGCGACTTAAACCAACAGTACTTGGCCCAGCTATCGGCCGCGGAAAAAAAATAGAGTAGAAATGTTTCTAGTCGGATGAATTCGGGCGCTCCTGTAGCAGCGCGTACGTTTCCTGAAATSGCGGCGCGTTAACCGGCACGACTCTAGGACAGCCGTTTTGCCGTKTTYTGCCATTTCGCGCGGGTTAACACGGAGGYCGCACTCAGCCTCTGGCGGCGGTGAGATGCTCTACCAAAACTCGACAGGTAAGGCCCGCGGCGCTAATGGATTTCGCTGTTAACCGCTGCAACAGCATTTTTCATGCGGCGAAAGGCACTGGTGGTACCTTAAGAACTCTTGCGGGCGATGAGCTCAAGCCCTTAAGCCGCCAGCACACTGTCCTAGCCTTCGGTGAAAAGAAAACTCGTCGCCGATATCTGGAAAAGTCTGCGCCGGTGG